GAAAAGCAATTTGCAGTGTTAAGATGTATGAGTGAACTTTTGATTTGTCCCCTGGTTTAACATGAATATTTAGGTGAGGATGTGCCTGATATACTGTATACCGTATCTTCCATAGTTTTTTTCTCGTCCAAACTAAGCTGTAGTAGTTGCAATCAAAAGGGTTATAATAGTACAGAACACCAGTACAGACCTCACGTAACTTGTTGATGCTCACAACCGACATCCTTATGTTGTGATTGTGTGTTATTTCAGATGTGTGAGGATATGAGAATGTTTGTAGCTATGAGAGGACTGTGCTCATAGGGCTAGGAAGGAGAGAACTGCTCATGATCAGTGTATGGAACCAATATCCGCAACCAAGTGGAAACTCTGTACCTCTTCATCAACGCAAGCTTATAAGCAGTGCCCAGTCATGAACTCCTTGGGGAGAAAATTAAACGTCTCTTTATATTTTATGCTGCAGGGTGTATTTGCACGTTGAGAGTGAAAGGTTGTTGTCCAATTTATGCTCTCCATTTTTTTAGACTTTTTCTCCCTACAGTGAAATGTAGGGTAGAATAGTAATGTGATTGACAACGTGCTGCTTTTAGACAGGATCTGGGAAATAACAACGTCTTTCACATTGTAAAGCACACGGGCAGAGCTCCTTTTTCCTTGAGCTAACTCAGTAGGGTTTTACTTAGTGCTCATAGGCAAAAATATGGATTTTCATGCCTCTCTTGAGATGGATTGCCAGGTACTCCAGTAAGTGTAAGTATTTGAAAATGAGCTAGCTTATGCAGTAAGATTTTGTTTAGATAGGTCTATTCCTGTTCAGCAGTCACTGCATTATTACCGGTGAAAAAAGTAATATTGTAAAACCCTGTCCATACATAAAGCTTAATTCCAGTAAAACCAGTTTAGTAATGGCAAGTGATGTTTGCTAGCGTACTGAATTAACATTTACTATGGGAGAAATGGTAGGGAAAAAGTGAAATTGCGTTTGTGTGGGCATTTTGCGTAGTGAGACATCTTTAGTGTGATAATCTGTATACTGTAGAGTTTTCATTTGCACTCGGGTGTGTGTGTGAAACTTACATATCACAGACATCATTCCTTATGACTTTTCCCTTCTTTGTCCGATCATCTTTGAAATTTACACAGTGGTGAAAATTCTTTCAATTCATGCTTCTTCTTATTTTCAAGGGAAAGTGACTGATATCTTCTGTGGCAAGACTTTGGCTTAGCACATGGTAAGAAGGCGGGCACAACATCCCCTACAACAATGCTATGGCATGTTAATGGATTCCTGTTGCAGTGGGAGGAGTTTTATCTATTAACTTACCGCCTTTGCCAGCAGCAATGTGATTTTCCTGCCTTGCTGTGGCCTGTCCTTACAGTCAGCCCATGTGTGTCATGTTTTTAGAAACCAACAAATGTGGCTTTTTAAATGCAAGGTGTCCAATACCCAAAGGTGAACGGAATAAAGTTGAATCCATTATTGTGATAAACTGTCTATTAATCTTTTAAATGCAAAGCAGTTATTAAAACTCCAATGATAAATATAACAATTACATCTGATGGTCATTTAAGAAACCTAGACCGCAGCAGAGATGGCTATTGTAACCTTTGCAAACCATTTTCTGTCTATTCATTATAAGAAATCAAATTTTTGAAAAGATCTTCATATTCACTTGCTCTGCAGAAGATAAAATTATATTTTGTGAAGTCGTTATCTGATTACCTTTAGGCTCCTGTGCTACAGATTGTGGCTGCATTCCTCTCTTTTTCTGTTTTGCAATATTAAAGACATTTTTTAAACGGTTGGATTTCATAAAAATGTTATTGTGATGAGACTAAGACTCAACCCAGTATAAAGAACCCGAGAAATTTAGAAAAATCTATAACCTTCCTTAGTAATTTTTACTTTACCGATAAAATAATAGTAAAGTTGGACTTTAGTCATCTTGGTAAGGCCAGTCCAAAGCAACGCTTCTGCACTTGTGGGAGTATTTGTGCCTGACAGCAGCCTGTAGACTTTTGAATAGCAGAATCCCTGTGTTACCTATAAATCTACAATCTTTCCAAACTCACCAGTCTATTAGATTTTAGCAACATAGCAGTCAACATATAAAATATCTAAACTGTAAGTGAGCAGCAAATGAATGTGATACTTGTGATTATTTTATCTTTGTGGTAAATATTTTGTATAGCCTAGTTATTTTTTTCTCTTATATTATACTGTATCTGTTTACTTGTTGTAGGAGAGTCCAACACAGTTTGAAATATATAGAGGGGGTTTTATGAGTTCTGATTAGTCTTGCTTTTAGACTCAAGTTAGTGATTATATTGCTGAAGGGCTAAAGAAAGCTGTTTAGCCCCGTTTAAAAGTCTTTTTTTCAGACCTCCCACGTAGTTAAGCCCCTGAAGGTGCTCTGGGATCTAGGTGTCGTGAGTTGAAGCTACTGTATGACCTGACTTTAATGACAATGTCACAAGAGACCGCACACGAGTGGCTGAGTGCTTTTGGCTTACAAGTAACACAGTGAATCCTGTGTCTTCCTGAGCACTTGCAGGGATGCAGTGCTGTTGGTGAGAGGAGCATCTCTCCCCCAGTTGGTAGTGTACTTCGCTAATTGTTCTCCTTGTTTCCTAGTAACCATGAAAGTATGCTCTCAATTTTACTGATCCGATTTCAAAAGATGTAAGTTTCAAACCATGAGATCATTACACTAGAATAAAATCAAAGCTGCTCTTTGCCGGGATTGATGATATTTGTTTTGAGGTCCTCCCAAGAGGTCTGAATACTTTCCTTCTCTTCCCTAAGGCATTTGTGAAAGTCGGGTCTCTTGGTTAGATTCTTCAGTGCTGCAGTGTTGATGACGTTACACGAATAGTGATTAGTAACTACATTAAGTAAAAAAAACGTCAATATTAATACTTCAGTATATAATTAATCGATTAGCATTATGTTTCTTAACTGCTATAGATATAACATCATGGTGAACTGTATGTATCTTTTTGAGAACTGCTTTACTTCATGTTTGTCCATAATGGAGGTGCTTTTGTTTAAGTAATACCAGGAAAATGCCTAGAAAAACAGATGATTAAATGTTGCATTAGGCTAACTTCTGAGGAAGGTAAGCTATGAGTGTATTGGTATTATATGCAGTATCTGTCATTTCTGTAGCAGTGTGTGGTTAGTGCTCTGGACTCTGGACGAGAGTTCACTGGTCATTTCAGGGTAAACTAACGCTCTACCTGTCATGCAAAGTATGGTAATTTTATCAAAAAACAAATAATGAACATTCAATCACGACCAAATCTGCCCCATGAATCCTCTTATGGGTGTTTTGTGTATTTGTCTGTCCTGTCCCACTCTAAAAATTGTAGTTTTTATGTGAAATGCTCTAAGAAAATGAATGTTTTGGATGATAAAATGCAATTCTGAATGCTGATTACATATTTTATTTGAAATAGTTATGTAATTACAATTTGTTAACTGAAAATATGATTGCACATTTGCGTACTGTGATGTAGATCTTTATTCTGAGTGTTTTTTACCAAAAATATGTGGATTTTGAAGGTTAATACATGTTTTTGGTGACATTTTGATAAATTGATCATTCATGACTGTGATAGACTCTGGTGACTTTTATACATAGGCAATGAATCCCTTTATTTGTGAGAGAGTTGATTGAGCGCAGGTAATGAGATGTTTTAACCTGTCGAATACCAAGCCTAAAAATGAAAAAAAAAACACAGAAAAGAACCGATATTGCCTATGAAACAAATAACACCTTCCTGCCCTCTGCATGTCCACACGCTGTCGATCGCTGTCTGTGGTCTTCACATCTACCCTACCCTGTCAAGACGTTACAGCCGAGTGGTTTGTCATGGACAGGGCGGGATCTGAAGATCTGGAAGGCCACAAGTCATGACACCTGACCAAGATCTGTGGGGAAAGAGCGATGGCCGGGGAAGGAGTGTCTTGTCACTGCAGAACTCCATGTATCGTGATTGATAGCAACCTGACTGCATGGTCAGTGAAGACATCGATCAAGTCCTGGGTCCTTATTTACTGCCTCTCCTGTGTGCTCATCCTGACGGTGCAACATTCCTGCATGACCTGTGTACCAGGTCGCCAGTCGTGATCCCCTTAACATTATGGGGCTAAGATGTAGTGATAACAGCCTGATGCAGAGCATGCATTGCAGATGTGTATCGCTTTCTGTACTGTTAGCCTTCGGCTTTCAGAGTTTGACCAACTTGTTGATGACGTGTCAATTAGCAAAATGATATTATGTTTGCCATGTCTGCTACATCTGCTTCAATAAAGATTGTCGTTTTCTTAATTGTGTTGTCAATTTGTTGAAGTTATACAGTTTTCTGTCTCTTCAGCCATTCACAAATCACTGGTAATGTGACTAAGCAAAAACTCTGGCCTGCTTTTAGGTCCACGTATTTTAACATTTCTTCTCTAGTGCTCGTGGATGTTATAGTACCAAAAGAATTTAAGAAAAGTTCAACACTACAGTGTAAATGGTTTCCCCTGTTTGGGATTTCATTATCAAGATGCCAGCTTCCAAAACGTCTAAAACATTAAAGTGATGTAAAACCAAATCTTTGGGTGTAGATAGATATGGAGATGGAGAAAAACAACATTTATAATGTGTTGCAGTGTTTTATTTTTCAAAGATGCAGTAGTTTACAAGCATCGAATGCTGTAAACTGCAATTGCTTCCCTTATTTTATAGTTCATATAAAATTGTCAGCATAGCTCTGCCTTCAGTGTTAATCCCTTGGAAAAGTGTGGATGTGCCAGGGTCATAAAGGTACTGTCTTATTGTAAAAACACAGAAGCTGCACCTTGCAGAGTGAGGCTGACAGGAGAGAAGAAAACAGGGCGTACAAAATCCACAATCCAGAATAACCATGTGGCTGACTTGCGGTTAATTAATCTGTGTGAAAATTCCCAGCTGGTGTTCCTGCCAATCCTTTGGTTTTCCCCCCCCCCGCAGGGCGACTATGACCCGACCAAGGTGAAGGTGCTCCATTTCAGGATGAACCCGGCCAGCCAGGCGCGGCAGCAGCGCGCCCAGGACGCCGAGCAGCTGCGCCAGGAGCTCCAGCGCCTCAAGGAGCACATCCAGCTCTTGCAGGCAGGGGGCGCCGTCGCGGCCGAGGAGGGGCCCTTGAGCCTGCCGCCCTCTCAGGAAGTCCTAGGTACCTCCCGGTCCTCGTCTCCAGTAGGCTTTTGACTTCCCTCCTCTCTCGCCCCGGTTCTTCCAGAGTGCCGATGCTCCTCCCCTGCTCCCGCCACCCTGTCTCCTGTTCTCCCACGTTTCCCCTCTCTCCCCTCTCTCCCCTCACGCCTGAAGAAGGCTCCGCAGCCGAAAGGTTTTCCTTTTCCGCGTGGAACGGGCTTGTAACTTCCCTAACATTTCTTTTTCCACCTAGATGATCTGCTTATTTTGGTCATTTTGACATGCAGCTTTGTATTACCGTAGCACCCATTAGGCTGTTTTTAAGATGTTTTGCTCACTCATGCACACTGGCCTGCGCTACAGTAATTACCCATTTTTCCTCTCAATATGAATTTTCCTTGCCTTTCGTTGTGAAAGGTCTAATCACTGCACTCTGCTCAGACATCACTTTTCATGCCTTCTTAAGGGAGCTACAGCATTTCTCATCTGCTGATCATAATCAGCCAGTAAGAGGGAATTTGTCACTTCTACCAGCTATAATATTTAATGTATTAAAAATTTCACATAATTTCCTAGCAGCTTTTTTAGTTATTGGAAAAATCCACGTTTTTGATGCAAAAAGACAGGCAGAAGCAGTTGATCTGTGGTGACTCAACGGTTTGTACAGAATGCCGTTCCGGGTATCTGGACTTCAGAAGACTTTTCTGTTACAGAAAAGGCAGAGGAGTCAAATTGTTTGTACTTCTGAGGTGCCGTCACAAGAGTGATTACTCTCTATATCATAGGCTTTATTTCACCATGTTATCCAACTTGAAAAAGGCATCTTTGTCCTTGTGCATATGTATGTATATAGTGTTTCTTTCTCTCCTTGTTTAATACCATCTCTGCTTTTCACTCTCATATTTTACACACAAAGAATTAATATCGGCAGTAAGACAGCAAACTAAATATTTAATTGGAGTCAAGGGTGTTGTTGTTACACATTTCTACAGGGGCAATTTATCATCTGAAGATTCAACCATACTTGCAGAGGCAGGATGGTGTCTCATTAACTGCAGTGGGCCATGAATAAACAAACAAATCCTTTTACTTGTAATTGGCAATCTTTTTTTTCTCGCACAGAGAAAACTCACAAAAACACATATATATGTGTGTACATATATATATATTGCTATATATGTATGTGTGTGTGAATTTCAGGGTTTGTTTTAATAGAGTTTTAATGACTTGATGGCTGTCGTGCACGTGTTCAGGCATCATACACATCCAGAAATGTGGCCCTTTTAGTATACCTTAAGCTGTGACAGAGATAATTATATTGAATGAATTTTCATTGTTTGTTAGGCTTTTTCTGTTTTTACTAAGACATTAACAGCTAATTAAATTAGGGGTCTTTCTGAGCTTTTAGGACTAATTAACTAGTCACTTTATTGTCAGTGTAGGATTAATTTGTGGTCATCTGACTACCAGGTTCTAATTCCTTTAAGCTTTTATCTTTGTTTTTCAGCTATTTCTGTTCAGGCAATGAAGATATTTGCAGTAAATTAATTAATATGTTCAGCACTGTTGGAGTCCTTTCATCTTTTGAGTGTAGTCACTGAATGTGTACAGCACCACCAAAGCATCCACATACCTTTTAGTTGTGTGAATATTCTTCTGTTTATTTATTCAAAGGCCTAGTGTACGTAATCTTTGCCTCTTTGATGGGATTTGTGGTTATGAAAAGGCAAATTCCTGTTAAACTACTCCTGTGGTTGAACACTGTGAGGTGACATATCTCAAAAAAGCTGATACAACAGCACTTGACTAATTTAGGGTATCCTGCTAATGAATTGAAGAGAATGTCTTAGAGGTTTACAGTCTTCATCTTCCCACCAGCAGTAACTTTGAAACAGGTTTTCAATCAATTTCATGCCTATTTTTCTGCATTGACTTTGAATTAGAAGTCGAGGTTCTTAAAGGGCCATGACTGACAGTAATTGCAAGACTTTAGAAACTGCTTTCATCTGCTCTTCAGGTTCCAACCTACAATTAAGTCGCTTAGCAAATGGATGGAAAAAAAGGTCTCAGATCTGCAAAACAGATGATTATATGAAAGTGCAAAGTAGGATTTTAATGACCTAATAAGTATACTTAAAAGGTGAACTTTCTTAGATTTTCTGAGCTTTTTTTTCCAATAAATTAACGTCATTCATTCCTCAACCTTTTTTTTTTATTGGGAAACTGAGATGCGGGACAATGCCTTATTTATACAGTAGCTCTTCTTTATAATGGTTATTATCAAGATAGCCTTCTAGCTAGTTTAAACAAAGAAAGTAGAGGTGTGAAATGAGAGGAAACCATTAAACCCATATTAGTATAGATCCAAAAGTAGAATCAAGCTATTCTGCTCTTTATTAAATGATGCCAATGAGTATAGCAATGCAGTAGTTTCACCAAGGATCCAACAATTTCGTCTCACTGCAGCTGAAACCAGAATAACAGGAACAGCAAACAATGTAGAAGCAGCAAACAAATTTCAAAAAGATTTAGATGAAAATCAAAACTGGACAAACACCTGGCAGATGTCGTTTAATGTAGACAAGTATAGAATCTTACACACAGGTAGCAAAACAAACTCTAAATACCATATGGAAACTCTGAGCCTGAAGAGACTGCTTAAGAAGGTAAACAATTACTGTTGATGTTGACGCATTATTTACATCTTCTAGGCAATTTGAATAAGCTGATAAAAAGTCAAGCAAAACTTAAGGATATATTGTTAAAAACAGAGAATTTACATTAGTGGATGTTATGTTAATATTGCACAAAGCATTAGTAAAGCATTTAAAATGCTGTGTTCGGTTTTCAGTTCACCAAACTGTATTGAATCAATCCAGAGAAGAGCCACCAGATGCATTCTGGTGCTTAAAGTAATGTCCTGCACTGACAGGCTAAAAAACCTAAAGCATTTTAGTCATGCACTGACAAGTGAACTACTTCACTACCAAGAGTGAAACCCGAACCGGAGGGTACGAGTGTAAACTAAGGGAGAGGGCATTTAGAAAAGGAGACACTTCCTTGGGTGTATAGAACAAGTTACCCAGCAGTGTTGGAAGTCAACAGTGGTGCGCTGGCTTTTTCAAAGAAGTGGCTAAATGCAATCTTGAGATCAATTAGCTGCTTACTACCAAATGGATCAGAACGGCCTTCTCGTGTAACCTTTCTGATGTTCTTATCCGAAGGCGATGGCTTTGATTAATTGAAATGTGTGGAACTGTTTTCTTAGTATGAAACTTTCCAATTTACATGTTGGAAACCTCATCCTTTAGTATTTATTTGGTCAATATTACAAGTCATATCATTATTACAGTATATAATAATTTTATCTATGATCGTTTTTTATCATACAAATGGATCTCAGTAGACATTTTTCATGGCACAATTATAATACATTTTCTGGGCTCTGAATGTTTGTGGTTTATTAATACCATAAAACATTAATAAAGTTCTTAATATTAAATATGGTATAATATTGAATTCCATATACCCATAAACTTAAAATTACTTAGCATGATTATTACCATACAAAGGAAGTTGTTTTCTCTAAAATAGTGCTTTTTTATTTTTTGAATGCATTTGACCTCGATGATACAAAAGAAATCTTGAAGCCATCAAGTAATCGTTAGGGATGACTTATTCATGACAGTGGGATACTTTATCATTATGACATTTGTCATGTGCTGACAGCCTTGTCAGAACTGTTAAATACTATGACAAATCAAGGGATGGTATGTGTCAGACATTGGCGATTTGTTTTCCTCTGAGATTCTAGGTCTCTCAGGACATGATACCACAAATACCTCTGAACACCAGAGCCTCTATGTATTTTTAAATATACTGTTTGTTGTGAGAGTAATGCAGTCTGTAACAGTAAACGCACCTGTATATGAACAATAGTTAAAGTCTGAAGGGTTTCAACATCTGTTTTTATCAGCCTTTAAAAAAAGCTGAACTCTCAGATTGCTCTCACATCACATAGAGGCCACTTTTTTGTAAATTATCTGATTAAAATCCCAGCGCGTTTCTCAAAAAGAGTAAGGGTGTTAATCCGGTGTCCTGGCCAAATTTCCCCCCTGGCCTTTACCAATCATGGCCTCCTAATAATCCCCGTCTCTGGCTGCCGTCACATCATCCAGGTGGGGCTGCACACTGGTGGTGGTGGTGGAGAGTCCCCATTACCTTTGAGTGTTGTGTCCAGAAAAGTGTTATATAAGTGTAAGGAATTATTACTATTAATTGAGTTTATAGATTATTCATGATAACCAATGATATTAGCCATCATGATTATCACCGTGCGTTCCTTCATGTGTTTTTTCTTGATTATTAGATACAGTGGATGCCCATGTGTGCTTCCTTTCAAATGTTAGTACTGTTTTAACTTAATAGTGGCTGGTAAATGGACCCCGAAATCCTTAGCAACTAATTTAAAGCTTGGTATTTTCTGATGCAGAAATGAAATCTTGGTGTTGGTATGGAACAACATTTTTGCTATATCTAACTACAGCTGGTATGGAGTTTATTACTAATGAATCATTGGATACTTTTAATCAGTTCTTAAATTCTGAAGTGGAGCCGAAGTATGAAGTCCCATTTTTAATTGAATTTCTGAAGCTGAAATCTGTTTCTCATTGTAAGATAGCTTGGACATTGTTATGAAATGCTTCTTCCATAGGAGGTTCTGTCAGTGTTTGAAGACATCATCTCTTTTGGCAGTACAAAGCTGTTCACCTTCATCTGCTAGTTCATAGGACATCTGCTAGCTTCCTTATCCTGGAGGTACAACGTTTCAGAATTCCTGTTGCTGTTTTGTTGTGCTGCTGTTCCGAGGTAACCTTATAACAAAAACTGACATTCACTGCTAATAAGAATCCTACTGAGCACATACAGTGCCTTGTTAAAGTATTCAGACTCTTGCACAGTTTTTACATTTTTTGCTTAAAATCTTGCAGTAGTAATTCATATTTGTTATTTACATAA